TCTACAAATGTGCCCGAAATATGCAAGGGAAAGTACTTCTATAGATCCTCAGACATGTATAAGTAGATGAATATAACTATTCCTTTCTCAAAACTCATGAATTGGGTTACTTTTGGGAATTAATACAAATCTGCAGAAATAAAATGAAAAGTAGCTTGCACATGAATTCTTTTAACAACAATTTGTGTCCTGTAGTCTAGATGAACATGTGTACATCAACTCTTCACAATGTTCTTATTCTTTGGTGGGCTTTTCTCAAAGTTTCACTGACCGTTTCAATTGATTTGATTGCATTTAACACTTTAACTCAATAATAATGTGTGATTCCCTTTTCACGACGTTTTAACTTAAATTAGGATATCTGCATACAAATGTAATGACCACACAGTCAGTCAAGGGCTTACATCCATGCTTATATGCAAACTTTATAAAAATTAATTGAAAAAACAATGGTACGACTATTGCAAATCGTCTACAATTCAAGCTTCATTGTCATTACAACTTTTTTTTTGTAATAACTGTATTCATGGGTAGAGCAAAATTTGTGACGGTATTCTTAAATAATCAATGCAGAGAAATTGCTTTCTCCGTCGATTAACACATCAGGGCGTACCAGTTTAAAAAAAATGTTTGAACATCTCACCAAAATATTTTATTCAGATTCTCTCCCAGTTAGAAGTCAATCTTCAAATATTTACGTACCTTTTGCAAGCATTCCTGTTGCATGTTCATTGCCATATACACCCAAGGTCGGCATATTGATTAGAACGCAGATGATGATAAAATCAAACATTTTTAGCAGTTTAGAGTAAACTCTGATTAGGAAATACAAGGAACAAAAGTGAAGAGATCCTGTTTAGATTACGGAAGATATTACTGCGACCAATTTAGTTAATTTGATGGGCAATGATGGATCGAGTTACTGTGTGTGCAGTATACAGACATGTATCAAGACATACAGGCCTAATACATATATTCAGGCGATTTTAAAATGTTGTTTAGTATCTAGTAATACTTTTAGTTGTATATGACTGCAATGTCTGTGATTAATTATCATCATTATCCCGAAATTCATTTTCATCCAAGATGTTTCACTTTCGAAGTATGTATCATTTGATCACGTTGATGACTACTTGTTAACGATGTGAAAGCAATTACCGAGCTTTGTAATGACTCAAAGGCATTTTATACAGTTGTAACAGCATAATCTAGAATTGAAGAAACCTTTTACAAACAGGGCTCTTAGGTATTTTAATCAATTACTCCCTTTCTATATCTATCAAATTATCTATCTCTCTATCAATACATAATTATGTAAGGAAATAACTTATTCAACAGCTAGGCAACTCTCTCGGCAAAATACAATAGTCCGTGGGCCAGTGGGGGCTACCGTGCACCCCCCCCCCTATGATCCTACTTTTTGGGTGTCATTTTGTTCGTTGGGGTCCATAATATAAGAAAAAAGATGTTCCCAAGAAAAAAACTCATTTGGACACTGTTTTCTTGCTCCTTTTTTGAAGATATGTAAAAATGTCAGTTTTTCGTGTTTTGCACACTTTCTTAGGGTTTGTGAATTAGGTGCTTACATTTCACCCTGTTTCTCGGCAGATATAACTCTAATCTCCATCAAATTTATAAGAAATCTTTGTAAACTATACAACAATAGGTAGACAAAATTATTTGAATTTATTTTAATTAATAAATTTGCATATATTTTGATATGCAAATTGCTGTCTCGAAACCTGTCAAAATCACCTGAAAGTTGTATTTTGTCTGATATTATCATGAAATAAGTTTTCTAGTCCCCTAATTTGGTGTAATATTATTCATTGATATGTTATCTGATGTTTCCCGAAAATTGCGCACCAGAGCTTCCAGGTTGGGCTGGATTTGTCTCAGTAACATGGGGAGGTGCCTTCAAATGTGACTACCATAGATTACTATCCTGTTATAAAATATCCCATAACAGAATTCGATACAATCCAAGAGTGCCCGGGAGCTGCAGAAGAAGCAAGCCGCGAGGTTGGCCAAGACTATGTCATAACAACATTTGACTTGGGTGTGTGCATGAAGGCATATCCTCTCATTTGGAGTCATCCATAGAATTACAAGAAACACATTGTGTTAATTGGCACTTTCCATTTGATTTGTGCATACTCCAAGATGCTTGGAAAGAAAATGGAAGGATCCGGACTTGAAGATATCCTCTTGGAAGCTGGTCTGATGTCTTCTGGGTCTATGAAAGACGTCATAACAGGAAAGAACTGCGACAGGAGTCTGCATTGTCACAAGACAATGGTGGAGTGCTTAGAAAGGCTCCTTTTTATGAGTTCCTGTCAATGACTGGAAAAGATGATGCACTCGTTGGTATAGCTGATTAATCAAAGAATATCTTCTAAGAGCTAATCCGATCACCAACAAAGGAGAGGCTTGCTGAGGTTGTGGCTAATGAAGATCTGAAGGCGTTGAAAGAGTCATATGAGAGCTTCAAAGCTGATATTCGAAGAGGATCTCTTGGGAAGACGGCACAATTTTTGATGTCGTATGTTGATTGCGTTTGGATTGATCTTTCATTGATCAGGTCTGTGAAAGAAAATGACTGTCCATTGTACTTGCACTGCCTGTTCCTTATGCCTGACCTGGTCACAATTACTCCCGATATCTGACCTACCATGATTTATTCTTAGTAAACATTGAAGATTCACTTCCTGGTGCCTTGATATTGCTCGAAAGAGGTGCAATAAGTGTTGCCAGGTCGCTCATTCCAGGGAACCGATGTGCTGTCGACAAGACAATTGAGGAGATAATCCTGAAGCATTGCAAATCTCGCGGTGGGGGTGGTGTCGGTAGTGGTGTCGGTGTCTCTGGCATAATTGAGAACTACAGTGTATGTCAGAGGTGGGATCGAACATAATATGCAGATATGACGTTTGATGCTCACCGTGGAAGTAAACACAGAGATCAACAACCAACTCAGATGAGGAAAAGTGAGGGATGTGTATTAAAAAAAGGGCCATAAATGTTCAGATGTAAAAAGCTTATTCATGGCCAATGGTCCGAATGGGAGCCGATGTTTTCCGATTGTTCCCGAACCTGCGGCGGAGGGATCCGAAGGAAACGTCGGCATTGCAATAGTCCAACGTAAGACGAAGTTGTATTACTGTAATTCTCTGTGTATATAAATCACTCTATTTTATCAATTTCCTGTAAACATTACTCTGAAGATGAAGCGACTGTTAACGGTACTTAGTATGTTAAGAGAATTAATATTCCCTTTGAATGTTACTTTTAAATGAACATAGACTTCGTAAGTACATGAATTAGGAAAAGGTAGCAAAAATGTAAGCAAAAAAAAATCCAAAGCAGAATAAGAATTATTGAAATTGTAGAAAACCAAAACTATAAACGTCATTCACGTCAAGACAAAAAGTAAACATGCAAATCTTGTAGAAAAATATTTAGAGATGAAGACAGCTTCAATTCTCGAATTAATTAAGTTAATATTACAATGATTTAACTTGCAACAATTTATACACTATTTAATGATTGTTTACTATTTTATTCAACTTATTTTTCTCTTTTAAAATCACCTAGACCGTCTTTTGGCGGGTACCACTGCCAAGGAGAAGATACTGAAATAGAAACGTGCAACGTGTTTGTAAGTTTGCTAATTTTATATTCAATATCTCCTACATGTTTCGATTTGAAATCTTTTTTAAGGTGTAATTATTACAGTTATTTATATTATGATATTATTTTATACGTATTTTGACTTTTGTATTGTGACTTTTGTATATAACTTTGTACTATGTTGAACAATGCAGAAATATAATAAAAATCAAACAAAGAAATACCGACAATACTCTCTGACTATCATCATTGTACACTTCTTGTCCAAGAAAGTAATTACTATTTGCTAGAAATATATTAATGAACAATCTCAACTTATTTCAAGATAATCAATTTAACGCCAGTTTTAACAGCCTTGCGCATTACCTATAAGCGAGTTCGTAATTAGGATTTGCGCATGTGCAGATAAAGGTCATTCGTTCCCAAATTGTAAAACGATTGAGACGAATACTCGTATCGGGCTCATGAAACTTTTTTTTTTTTTTTTACAAGGATGTTATGCGAGGGAGCGTAGCGACCGAGCGAGATTTTTTTTTCTCCAATTTTATTAGTCTAAACGCTGCACTCTTGGGCCTTCCGGAGCCTAAAAGTGTGTTGCAGTCATTATTCAGTATATGCTATACAATTTGTTTTGCACTTTTTCAAATTTCCAGGGGGGGGGGGGGGACGTGTCCCCCTGTCCCCCCGGGATCGCCGCCCCTGTGTATTAGTATTCATGTATGTACCGACAGTACATTTTTCTGATACACAGGTGGAAGTATTCTTCTCAAGAAGGCAAACAAAAGGTATTCATGAAGCACCTCCATCACTTCGACAGTGATTATTCTAAAATGCACAAGTGGGACGTATCCATAGTGTAAAAGATCTGTGGATGTTTGGGGGTCATACGTTCCAGAGCTATTTACGAACAGGCTTATTGATGTACGGATATAACTCCATAACATAACAACATAACATATAACTTTACCTTGAATACTGCAGGCACGATATATACACGTAGGGTATTAAAACTTTGACGATTCAATTAGGGGAAGGAATCACGATACAATACTGTTACGGAATATGATGAAAAGTACCAACATTGAATGATGGTCTATAATGTCATATACCACCATTGAATGATGTTCTATAATGTCATATACCAATATTGAATGATGGTCTATAATGTCATATACCAACATTGAATGATGGTCTATAATGTCATATACCAAAATTGAATGATGGTCTATAATGTCATATACCAACATTGAATGATGGTCTATAATGTCATATACCAAAATTGAATGATGGTCTATAATGTCATATACCAACATTGAATGATGGTCTATAATGTCATATACCAACATTAAATGATGGTCTATAATGTCATATACCAACATTGAATGATGAAACGGAGATTGAATGCTTTATTTGTTTTTCTTCATCATTTTTTTAACTGTCCCGGTTCCACCCAGTACCAGTTTGCAGAAGAACAGTGTGGATCCCGAGATAATATTCTTTACAAAGATCAGCTTACAACGTGGTTGCCTTATACAGATAGAAGCCGTGAGTTGTTGTTGTTATTTTCCTTTTAGTTTGGTTAAGTTATTCTGCAGTTGTGAGTCGGTCAAAGGAGGTGCACACCGTCTTATTTCTTGTTTGTTCGATCTTAAGTTTGATCCTATGTTTGACCTCATGTATGTTTGATCTTACTCTTATTTTTATTATTTTATATGAATGATTTATTGAATATCGAACAGATGTATAAATTGTGTGTTTATCATAAGTTTTGGTAAATATTTTTTTTAGTCAGACTATGGTGCGCTTAGAGACACCCGTATTAAGCGCCTAATAAATATTGTGTATTATTATCAACTTCTTTTCATTCATTTATTCAATTTCACTAGCAGCATAAAATAAAAAAGAAGAATTGTTAAATGACAAGATATATCCAATGTCATGTGGTATAAAAGTCCATTCAAGATGACCTGTAAGCAACAGCTATTTTACAGACTTAAATCGCATAAATAGATTTGTTTTATTTTTATTTGCTTGTTGTAGAATTTTTGGCTTTTAAAAAATGGTCGAGCAAAACCCCTCTGTATTTCAAACAGCAAAGTATACGCCGCTTTACCAAGTCAATAGTTTATGATGTGTTTTTTTAATACTATTTTGTATCCTAAAACGCATTTATTACTCGTCGCCATATAAGATTGTTTAGTTACAAATATATTTTATTTTCTAAGTTGTTTTGCAAATGCCATTTTATATTCATTTTATGTAAGAAATTTTTATCTTTTGATTGAGTTATGAAAACATTATTATTTGAATTGATTTGAATTGAATTGAATTGATTTGATTTGATTACATTTCTTTGAAATACAGAAACGTCTGGTGATGATTTCTGCCAGCATAACTGTGTGTCGTATGGGCTCAGTAAAGTGGTCAAGTTTGGTCAGTTTACAGACGGCACTCGATGCGATGTTCTCAATCCATTAGAAGACAAAACGGCCATATGCGTTGAAGGCGAGTGTAAGGTAGGGACGTAACATCTAATTATTTTTCAAATAATAATCTGGATTTATTGCTTTCAACCAAGGTCACCTCATCTTTCTATTGTAACGCAATATTCTGTCAACTTGTTATATTCATGTCATATTTAAAATTTGTGTTATGAAAGAAAGAAAAATAAAACTTGAACTTGAACTTGAACTTGATATAGCGCTTAAAACGAATTTATTGAGGCGCTTTACGGATATCATTAACCCGGTCATCGGTTTTATTCACGCACAATGTGCACCCTCTCCTCTCTCTGAGGAGTGTTCCTACCATACAGTCACCGTGAGGGCAAATGGCAATTACTAACACAAATGCTATGTCATCCTAAACCAGGCCTTGCCAGAGGACATTAGTTTAGTGTTCGGGGATCGAACCCATGACCTTTGAACCCACGACCTTTGAATTTCAACATTATTCTGGCTTTATTCCTAGGAAGATAGAGGATTAGGTTTAGGATGGTTAGAGTTGCAATTTGGGTTAAGGGTTAGCTTTTAAGTAGGTTCACTTTTAATTTCCGTATTACATGATTTAAAAAACATTCTTTCATGTTATTGATTAATGATTCCGGATTGCTTATTTCCATATTACATAACGAAATGTTGGTGTTTTATAAAATATGTTATGCATTGTTAATTATACATGGAATATTGATAAAAGCAACCAAACAATAATTATATAAATAATATTGGATGCAGTGTGATGCAAGAATATATTGTCATAGCGAGAGCAATATTCATATAGTATCACACGAAAACAAAGCCATACAATATTATTGTTGTTATCTATATCAGGCTGACTAGCGAAATAACATAATTTGACTTGATAATCAAGCAATATTGTATCGACATTTGAAGTTCCCGGATGACAGCAATACGAGAAAAAAAAAATTATCTGCCATCCGGGTACTGCGCTAAAAATATTACATACACTGATTTATTGTACCAATTGGAAGCCTTATATAGATAATAATGATTATATAATAATGATAATAATTGTCTCATTGCAGCATTTCGGATGTGATCTCGAGGAAGATTCTGATCGACGTTTTGATTCTTGTGGAGTTTGTGACGGAGATAACTCAACATGCGAGATACAGACTGGTGGTGTCAGTCACCCTCCCGCGTATTATGGTAAGCATTAGATGTATCTGTTTAATTAGGCATATATTTAATTAGTGTTCTGTCATTTGGGTATGGTTTTTCTTACTTCTGTACCTTTGTTTACTTTTGTTTACAATGCAGATTCTTTATGTGATCTCTTTTTATGCCTCCGCCACCGAAGGTGGTGCCGGAGGCATCATGTTTTCGGGTTGTCCGTCCGTACGTCCGTACGTCCGTCCCGTTTGACCGTTATCACAATATCTCAAGAACCAGATTTTGGAGTACGTAGGTCAAAGGTCACAGGTCACAGAGGTCAACTTATGAAATTCCTTGTATTGAGTTTGTTAGCGCGATATCTCAAGAACCATTTGAGATTTAAACTTCAAACTTAAGGATAGTATGTATCACCATAGGAAGACGATCTGATTAGATTTTGGAGCACGTATGTCAAAGGTCAAGGGTCACAGAGGTCAACTTATGAAATTCCATACATTGAGATTGTTATCATGATATCTCAAGAACCACTGGAGATTTAAACTTCAAACTTAGTGATAGTGTGTATCACTATAGGAAAACAATCTGATTACATTTTTGGAGCACGTAGGTCAAAGGTCAAGGGTCATAGAGGTCAACTTATGAAATTCCATACATTGAGATTGTTATCATGATATCTTAAGAACCACTGGAGATGTAAAAACTTCAAACTTAAGGATAGTATGTATCACCATAGGAAGACGATCTGATTAGATTTTGGAGCACGTAGGTCAAAGGTCAAGGGTCACAGAGGTCAACTTATGAAATTCCATACATTGAGATTGTTATCATAATATCTCAAGAACCACTGGAGATTTAAACTTCAAACTTAATGATAGTGTGTATCACCATAGGAAGACAATCTGATTAGATTTTGGAGCACGTAGGTCAGAGGTCAAGGGTCACAGAGGTCAACTTATGAAATTCCATACATTGAGATCGTTATCGCGATATCTCAAGAACCACTGGAGAATTTTCACTTCAAACTTAATGATAGTATGTATCACCATATCATAATATCTCAAGAACCACTGGAGATTTAAACTTCAAACTTAATGATAGTGTGTATCACCATAGGAAGACAATCTGATTAGATTTTGGAGCACGTAGGTCAAAGGTCAAGGGTCACAGAGGTCAACTTATGAAATTCCATACATTGAGATTGTTATCATGATATCTCAAGAACCACTGGAGATTTAAACTCCAAACTTGTTTAAATTGCTCTATGGCGGAGGCATCATTTTCGACTGCGCGCAGTCAAAATTCCATCTAGTTTTCTCCTTTTATTCTTTTTTCACAAGTGCACATTAAAAAATTTGATATCAAGAAGATTCGGTGCCTTACAAATTTCACATATTATTATGATTATCATAATTATTACCATCATCATCAATCATCATCATCATCATCATCATTATCACCATCTTTATCATTATTATTATTATCATTTTCATTTTCATTCACTAATTGCTTGTAGGCCATGAGGTCTATGGGGTCCGAATCAACCGCCCCTTCCCCCTCACTTAGCTTTCATCTTTTGTAAAAGGGAGAATAAAGGCAAACATTATCAAGGCAGATTTGTTTTTATCCTTACCCGTCCCTCCTGAGCAAGTCCGACAAGGGTCGATGACATGACAGTGATGTAGTCGAGGCCGGCAGCTCTGAGTCACGAGGCCGCTCAAAAATGTTCCCTTCTTTAGGTTTCGTAAGCTCGTAATTTCCAAAGCTCTTTGGAAGCGCATATAGACATTATGTGATAAAAAAATATGCGCTGTACAAGAACCGAATATTATTCTTATTACTTCTGATATTTTGGCAATATTGGAAAGTCGGATGTTTAGGTCATCGTCCGTGCTGGGTTAATTGTTGTATGGCATCTATTGTACATGTTACACGATCTTTGTATGTGTTTTTTGTTTCAGATTATACTAATCTTTTGGAGATCCCGATAGGTTCCACTTATATCAACATCACACAACCGTGCGGAGATTGTCATTTCGGTAAGATGATTAAGTCATGCGCCAGAAAACAAAGGTTAAAGATATTATGGAGAAAGTCATATAATCAAAGTGGAGATGGGCTGGGCATGTAGCAAGACTTCAGGAAAAGAGATGGACAAATCGTTTAACAGCATGGCAACCAAGGATGGGAAAGAGAAGAAGAGGAAGGCAGAAGAGAAGATGGAGAGATGACCTAACATCATACATGGGAACGGCCGCTTGGACTAGGACAGCTAGAAACAGAATAGAGTGGAAATGTTATGAGGAGGGCTTTGTCCAACGTCTGGATGAACTATATAGCCTGATAGATAGATAGATTAAATCGATCTAATAAGTTGATATTTCCACCTGCCCATCTTAAAAGTGACATTCATCATGTCTCTCAAAGAGTCTGAATGCTTTGCAAGTTCATAATCAATTTTTGGTATGATGATGATGATGATGATTTGTTTTCACCTGACTGGTAAGAAAGCATGTGTGCTCTTGTAAGTAAGTAACCAGAGGACGGATGGCTTTAAGTCCTCTCAGAGGGACTTGATAATGAGGACTAATCCCATACCAAAGGGCACTAGCTTATCGGCTTGGTGTCGAATCCGGGAGCTCCCGGTTTCGAGGCCACGAGTGCTCTACCACTGAGCTATCTTAATCAAAATGGTGGGATGTGAAATATAACACAATGAAATAAAACTATTGAACAATTAATAACATTTCCTAAACTTTTATTTCCTTCTTTATTATTATTATTATTACCGGGGTTGTAGAGAAACATATTTACAATAATTATATTAAGGGTGCACGTATAATTGGACATTTTCTTGAGGGAAAATAAACTTTCTTATTTTTGTTTGTGCAGAGAAAATGGGAGTAAACCTTGCAAGATGAGTAACAGAGTTGCCAATGTGTGATTGAGTGATCGCAACTTTTAAAAGATATCATAACTATCTTATCTTTAATCGGAATTCACTCCAACTTTCACTTACCTGTTCCTCTCATTTTGTGCTTCTAATAAAACCAACTGATTATCATGGTGGACTTCCCTTTTAACCCATTGCTTACTGGAACCTGGTGGTCCCTGTGCTTAGCCTATGGGAATTAATTAATTCAGTAGCCAACGGGTTAAAGAGAAGAGTAGACTTTAAAATAAGAAAATTAAGAGTTTGTATATTCTTTCTTACATACAGCTTTGATCATAGAAGACCAATACGTCATCGGTGGCGCAGGAGAAAGGGGGAAGTCCCGTGCGTACTCAATGGGGGATGACGTCATATCTTACGTAGGTGGAGATGGGGAAAGTATCCAAATCAGGGGACCGACCAGCTCAAAAATAACTATACAGGTGTGTAACTATGTTAAAGTGACTCGGTAACCTTGTTGAAGGTTGATGAAAAACTGTAACTTTTGTATAAATGTTACTTATTATATACCTTCTATTGTACTTACCCTCTAACAGGCAAAAAATCCTGAGAACATTCTCAAACTTCAAAGACATTTACGGTTTTCTTTGAAGGCGTCACTGTGCAACACCCTCTAACACTGATTAACAGTTAATTCTCCCAACCATTTTTCCTTTAAAATAAGACATAAGACAGGCTTTTAAAAATCTTTCAAAACTTAAATGTCTGGAATGGTATATAAAGCAAATTCATGGCTTGGTGGCAATTTACATTCACCTAAAATGTAATGAAATTGTAGTTAGGAGAATTAAGGAATCGATCAGATCAGTTTTTCCCAATGTTTATCATTCATAATGGTCCGTTTTCACTCTAACAGTCAGATAATCTTTAATTGTACATCTAGTATTATGAAATCACTACCTAAGCACCATTTTTTCTCTCATCTGAACAATGTTACTAAGTCGCTTTAATGTTCACTTAGTTGAGCTCTCATAAATATCACAGCAAAAATAGTTTGCGAGTATTTGCATATATTAAATATTAGAATGGAAGAATATTATAGATGGATGTCCCCTAAAAAGGACTACTCTTCAAATGCCCTCATTTTGTGAAAATATGACAATTTGAACATTCCGCTCACAACGATTACTCCCGGATGATGGCGGATCAAGATATATAGGGTTAATAGAGATAGGATTGTAAATGGACTTGGATGTTGCTGCTGATGATGATGATGGTGGTGGTGACGATGATGATGATGATGGTGATGATGATGATGATGATGGTGATGATGATGGTGGTGGTGATGATGGTGATGATGATGATGATGATGATGATGATGATAGTGATGATGATGATGATGGTGATGGTGATGATGATGATGGTGGTGGTGGTGACGATGATGATGATGATGATGATAATGATGATGATGATGAACATGATGCTGATGAACATGATGAATGAAGATGATGATGATGATGATGATACTTATTGGTAGAGTACTAGGTCCAGGTTTGGAGTTAAGCCTCGGTTGGCGTCGGAAATTTACGGAGAAGTAAAAACTACCGCCCGAGCATTATTATGCTTACAACCTACAACTTCAATCAATTTATTCAATTGTAGCAGCCAGAAACTAGATATTGTTTTCCATAATCTCGTGTTCTCTTCACTTAACTGTACAGGTTTACGCGTCTACATACCATGTTTTCGATGATGCCAAGAAGAGCTCAGAAGCGCGCTGGGTTTTCTTCAAACCGATTCAAGATAGACCTGCATACCGATGGAGCATCGTTGATACACCTTGCAGCAAAACGTGTGGTTACGGTCAGAAATTATTTGTTATTATTGATAGAAAATAGCGATGATGATGAGGATGGTGATGATGATGATGATGGCGATGATGGTGGTGATGATGGTGGTGATGATGGTGGTGATGGTGGTGGTTATGATGATCATGATGATCATGATGGTTATGATGATGATTATGATGATGATGATGATGGTTATGATGATGATGATGTTGATGATGGTTATGATGATGATTATGATGATGATGATGATGATGGTGGTGCTGGGGGGGGGGGGAGATGTGGAGGAAACTTTATAAAAAGAAAATAGCCCGGATCGTTTCCAGCAAGCCAGGACAAAAGTTTCAGATATATCGACAGTGACCATGGACAGGGCTAAATAAGTAAAGACGGTAATCAATGACTCACCGACAAGACTCGAAGGCCCGGATTCACAAAGGAGGTTTGTCGACAAACCTTGGTTTTCGTACGTCATATGACGCGTTTTACGCGTTTTTTTACAAACCTGGTTTGTAAAGAACAAAAGGAGGTTTGGCGAAACAAAAGGAGGTTTGAGCTCAAACCTTGCTTTGTGAATTCGGGCCTAAAGGTTTGCCAATATATCATTTTTAATAGGGTGTCTTATCTACATTTGGCTCTCTCCGACAAGGTGTTAAATGGGTACCCTGTATTACGTGAAATTTGATGTGGTTGGAATTGCATGTGTGCGCTTGTAAAACGGCGCCTTGCTAAAGTAGTCCCCAGGGAGCGGAGCATGTGCACTATCATATGCGGATTAGCAATTGAATCTAATGACCGGGGTAATACCAAATTACAATGTAAAGCGCTGAGGAACGTAATATTAAGGGATATACAAATGTGACTATTATTATCAATATAATTGCCAAACACATTTATTGTGCTACAACATTCTGGTAATATGCTTATACAATATTTGCTCTACACTACAGGACTGCAAATGCAAGAAGTTATCTGTACCGAGCTTGGGCTTGTTGGAACTCTGGATGGTAGATCTGTTAAGCCTTTTCATTGCTTGCATCTCAAGAAGCCTGAACCAGTTACAGAACCGTGCAACGAGTTTGATTGCCCCCACAGGTAAAGTGAAATTCGTTGTTAACCCGTTGTCTTCTAATTTCTCTCATTCACATAGGCTTAATACATGGACCACCCGCTACCAGAAAGCAGAGGGTTGATACTTTATTTTTTTTGAATTATTGGAAATTATTTATCTAGGGAGGGGACGATGTGACAGGTTGTGTTCATTTCTTTTCTCAGTGCCTCCCCCTTTGACTTTTTTCGCCACCCTTTCCCTTTTCCATAGCAACATGATTGCAAAGGATATCAAAACATCAAATGAAACCTCAAATTTGGGAGCATTACAACAATAACGTATTAGAAATCAGGGTCCTGTTCCATCAAACTTGTTATCAATTAAAAGTTACAATGACGATTATAAGCTACCGAAATCGTGCTAGTTGGTTGGCTGAGAGCAAATTTATCATAACAATTTAGCATCTGTAATTGATATCCAGTTTTATGAAACAGGGCCGTGATCATGATTTATATAAGATGTACAACAGGATATTCAAATTGAACCTAATTGATTTTGCGAAAGTCTTTGCGATTTTGTTTTTTCTCATTGTCTGATTTATAAGGGGAGGCCTGGGTACATGCCCCCGAAGCTATTAGAATGTAAGCTAAAATGATGTGCGTTACCATAATAATGTCTTCATACTTGTTTCATTTGCTAAAAATGAAGTCTAAATCTGATTATGTAATTTCAGCTAAGCATGACATGTTAACCCTCCATTAAAAAAAATTATATTTGAGTTGCAATGGAGTACATGATGTTTGTGTCATTCCGCCCGTACATGATTTTAAATAGCCAATTGGCTTTTATGTTATCCTTGAGTACCCAATAAAACAAAATATATATATATATATTTTTTAATTACTTTTTTTTTTTTTTTTTTCATTTGGTGACAGATGGGAGGTGGGTGAGTGGGGCGACTGCTCTGTATCCTGCGGGGTTGGCGTGAGGTTCCGTCAGGCATACTGCGTCCGGGAGAACACGGCGGGACTGATCGAGATCCTCCCGCATGTGACCTGCGCGGATAGGTTGGAACCTTTGCTGGAGGAACACTGTGAAGCACCGGCTTGTCTTGAAGATGGTAGAGGTAAGAGCAGAAGGTGTGCTGTTCAATGAAGTTGGAACAAAGTTTCCGACAGATTTGCTGAATGATTTTAAAATCTCCTTTTTATAAAAATACCAAAAAAAAAAAGAGAAGGACCTAAGAATCCAGGTTAATACAAATTTCCATATTCATTTCGGGGATTCAAACAGACATATCTGATTTATAAAAGAAACAAAAACATGAAACACTTTGTTGTGGCTTTGAAAAAAAGGTGGAATGTATTATTTTAAGAGCCTAAAATGGACCGGCGAGATTTCCGAAAATACGCATGGTGCGCGCTACCGGCAATGTTGGGGGATTATTTTTTTCGCTTCTGATGTGTAAATGGGATTGATGTATAATTGTGTTTAGACTGGTAGAATAAAAGTAGACCTTTGCATTTTTTCTGAAAGAGAGTTCAATCCACTTTTTTCTTCTCTCACTGACAGTCACTTGCAATAAGACCATCTTTGCATCAGAGGGTTCGTTCACATCTCCTAATCATCCCGGGAACTACCCGACCGATATTAACTGCATCACCAGAATTAAAGTTAATCCGGGTTACTGGATTGATCTGACCTTTCAAAGCTTCGAGTTAGAACCGGCTCCTGGCTGCATATACGACTATGTAGAGGTAACAATACTGCAATATACATGTAGATCTTTGTTGTGGTTTGTTCATACTTAAATTTTAGAACGTTTCCGTATAATGAAAAATGAAAGATCTCGATCGCTCTCTCTCTCTCTCTTTCTCTTTCTTCCCTTTCACATCAGTCTCTCTTCTTTTCTTTCCATTCTCCTTTTTTTTTAAAATCGTTCTCTGCTCTTTTAATTTCCCCTCTCCATCTCCCATTTCATGTTCTTGCTCATGCTTTTAAATGCCAATGGTATTCTTCCCGATTCTAGTCATTTACCGATTCCATTTTATTAATTTAAAAAACATCAAGAATATTATCATGTGCATGGAACTGAAAACACATCTACAATAAAGTTGGCAAATCATAAAGAGTTCTAAGTTTGACTCATATGAGGCTGATAAACTTGAAGATGTTTTCTCTTTCATCCAACATAATTGATTAGTCAACATCTCTGTAACTTAATGAGTTAAATTGTTTCATACTTAAAGGGATAGTTGAGTTCTTCTTTCAGACCGCAAATGCCTTCAAAGTGCATGGATATTGCTCTTATTCTTATTTAGGACATTTCTAGTGCTTTTTTAGGAGCTAAAAGTGCTTTGAAGGTAATTCTAGACCCCAAAATGTATTAATTTAGATTGAATACGATCATACTAATTCAGATCCACTTTTAAAAAAAAAGGTGACCGTTAATTAATTAATTAATAATAACAATACGCAGGCCGGCTGGTTGTGCTTATTACAACCAACACGAAATGGCCGACAAAAATCCAATTATATATTGTCATTGGCTGGAATAAAACGTAAAAGACGCTATCTCGTTTTCAACGGCTAGTTCAACATTGCCAAATATTTGTGGGGCACCACAAAATATTAGAAATGGTTATATTTATGGATATTTCAGCCGTCTCTGAACCTATTTTGATCAATCAAAGATGATTTTGTCATTTAAATTATATTCTTTCACATTTGACATTCAGTTTTTCATTATCTCACAACAAAATTATTTTGTGTAGCGCAGGATATCTCAACTATCCTATTCAATTGTTTTATACTTAATCATAAGCGCATAAATTCGGTTCCTTTCTCTTTCTACGCAGGTATTTCAGGACCGCGAAGACGGAACAAGGACATCAATTGCAAGACTTTGTGGAACTCGAAAATTTCGTTCCTCAGTAGTAGTTAAAGGTAACTCTGCTAGTGTCTTGTTTCATAGTGACGTCATTGTTACCAGACGGGGTTTTGTTGCCAATTTTAGTGAACTTGATCCCTAAAAGAACTAAGTAGGACAAATTATGAAGGCGTCATCAAGAATAATTTTCTGTAACGAAAAACAGTGCTTAATTTCACACTACTAGTCATGGCTAGTCTCTTATCCAGGCCAGTCAGAGGTGGTTTTAATTTGTTACTAGTTTAGGTGAGCTTGGTCCCTAAAAGAAATTAGTAAACTAAATCATGAAGGCGTTACCAGAAATGATTTTCCGTAACGAAAATAATACTTATTTTAAATTAGTAGTCATGGTTAGTTATTTATCCAGGCCAGTCAAAGGCGGTTTTAATTTGTTGCCAATTTGAGTGAGCTTGATCCCTAAAAGAAATTAGTAAAAATAAATCATGAAGGCGTTACCCAAAATGATTTTCTGTAACGGAAACAAAAGTACTTATTTTCACATTACTAGTCATGGGGGTGTTTCACAAAGACTAAGATCGACTTTAAGTTGGACTTAACTATGGCAGGCTGTTAATGCCACTGGTTGCTCTCACCATTGGTCTCTCAACTATGATCTTTAGAATATTTTTTTTCTTGAATAATGAATTATCAAAAAAGTAAATTCTGTAGATTTGTGACCACTATTTGTACGTCCCTTGAGAAACTAATGCCAGGAATGGTTAGAGGAACTTATGGTATTAAAGGCCTGCCATAGTTAAGTCCAACTTAAAGTCGATCTTATTCTTTGTGAAACACTCCCCAGGTTATTTATCCAGGCCATGCAGTCAGAGGTGGTTTTAATTTGTTACCTATTTAGGTAGCTTGATCCTTATATATATATCTGTATATTTGTAAAGCACTTAGAGACATTTGTATTAAGCGCTTTACAAAAATTAAATATTATTATTATTAAATAGAACTATATGAACATACTCACAGAGGCGTCATCTAAAAACATAGTTTTGTAGAAGGAAACCATCTAGTTTCTCAGTAATAGTTGAATATCATTCTGATAGTGTCTTGTTTCAGAGCACCCATCGGTATTGATTCGAGACTGGTTTTGTTGCAAATTTGGTTAATCATTGATCTTGAAAATATACTATATCGACACACAACAAAGGCGATATACTCAAAAAACATTTTGATATTGGTGATATCTTCCTGACATATTTTTGTGTATTATGTGAATACACAAAAATCTGTATTACTGTTGAAAATAACAATTTGTTATCATGATTTTGAGCATCATTTACTACTAATATATCAACAGAATAACCAATAACCATAGCACTACACAAAATTAGGTCCAAAATACATCATATTATGAAACTTATAAAAACGACAATCACAAACTATTTACAAAACATCTCTTCCACAAGCTGCATACAGTATAGAACATATCATATTCAAAGATCAAAGACAATATGTGTATATACATTTTGTTGAACTCTAAATTCTTGAATATACTTTCTTGAATACTATCACAACGATACACTGCGCTACACACAATACTACAAAATAATAATTTCCTGATAATTTACAAGGTGTATAATAATTCAAGTACGAATCAATAACATAATAATGATATATTTTGTTTGTTTACTTTTGAGTACTGAGTTAGTATATAGGCGAAAGCTTGAAGTTACTTTGGAAGCGCCATGAGGACATTTTATAAAAACAGCATAGTTTTACAATTATCATAAACCTGTTGTCAGGGTTTTATCATGATTTTGACCCATTATGCATTACTGTGTCTTTCGCTAGATTAAATAGATCTTCTTTTGAAGGAATGTTCAAGTTCCGTCAATGAAGCTAGAATGGGCTTTGATCTGTAATTAAGAAAGATGAAACAAAATGTTTATGCGTTGTGTGTTTCACAGTAACATGAAATCAGTCGTGTCAATAATTAATGATTTTGCTGCAGTTGGCAGAAATAATTTGATTGTGATCAATTGTTAGAAAGCACATTCTATCTTTATACATTGTATGTCTATGAAGATTATACCAGTCCTGGTAAACCTCGTATAAAGAGTTGCGATTGAGCCGAATCAATCGCAAGTCCTCTAATCAATCGCAAGTTTGCAGTCCTCTATCTCTCATGTGCATAGTTACTACTGATTTCAATCGCAAATAAGTGGTGATTAATCGCAACTATTTTAAAGACGGGACCCTGGTCTGAACAGAATAAAAGATTTGATTTCAGACAATGCTCTAAAATTACATCCGGTGTAGAAATGCAAACGCCTTCTTTAATTTGTGTTGTTTTCTTTTGTCTCCGTGTGCTATTTAGGCGTCCTCAGTTATCTCAGGAGCCTAAAAGAAAGTGCTGTGAAAAGAGAAATGGATGGACAAAGAAAATCAATGAATAATTAGTCCGTCGTGGTGAATACGTATGAATGCATTTGTGGTATGACTCAGAATAATGTTCTTGATAATTATATCTCGTTACTGAGAGCTGGAATGGTGTTGAATCAATGTTGATTCCAATTTGTATACCTTAATTTTTGTAAATGATTATAATTGATATGTAATGTTTTGTTGGAAGCAGAAATAAAATTGAGAAAATTTGTTCAACATTAACTCAACACCCTTCTGGCTCTCCGCGTACACTATCATGTATATGCCTGTGTTTATATTGTATGTAACACCGATGGGAACCAGATTGTTGTATTATCATTGACAATGAAACTCGAATCTTGAATCTTGAAATCGGCAATCACCTGAAATAATTTCCAGTGAAATGAAAAGAAATCACTAGCGGTTACATAAGACTTGTGAAAATAAATTGTATGCACCGACGAATATCGTCGTATGAAAATGCTTTAGAAATAACCCTCTTGTTTTGATCATTGATGTAACAGAAAATACAATTAAATTGCCAAATGGTTAAAATAAAATATTGTGTTTTTGCCTTAAAACTGTTGTGCTTTGTTTATACTATACACTCTATACTTACACTTCGTCTTCATAGTTCTTTGGAGGAGCTACGGCAATGATCATTCTCAATATTTGAGATCCCTGTCAGTAGAAGACAAATCATTTATAAATATATTATTTCTTCAAATTTCATATCTACTTTCTAAACACCTATTAAAAAAGCAGCCTAGCAAGGCATGGCATTCTTTAAAATGTGCAAACCATGCAGAACACGTTGCTTAGTCCAAGATTTTTATAGGCAATACGCTAGGATTTTTTTTTGGTGTTTTTGCTTATATAATTTCATTTATTCTCAAAATCAAAACTGACTCAAAAGATGACATTTTAATACCACCGTACAGTCCCCGACGAAAATTTTAAAAACTATATAAAAAACAACAACAAACGAACAACAATTAGAAACTTTCTAACAGGATTTGTAACGTGCTATATAGTAAACTAGTGGTACTGTAAAACCATTTCGTTAGGCATTAATCCTCATTACCAAGTCCCTCGGGGAGGACTCAAAGTCGTCGGTTCCCTAGTTGCTCTCTAACAAGCATACACATACCTTTTTAGCAGTCATATATGAAACAAACAACAACGAACGAACCACGAATAGAAATTTTTCTAACATGATTTGTGGCGTGTTTGTAAACTAGGGGTACTGACGACCCCTGTGCACACGATGCGTTATTTATTGACTCAGTACTGCGTCGCTATCTCCTGTGTTCTTTGATGTGCAAGCTGAGCGAGGCCTCATAATCAAAATAGTTATAAAATATGCTATGAGTTTATAACTGCCTTTACAGCCTTAATTAGCGCAGGTAACAGCGCATCCAAAATGGCGCGTCGTGTGAAACTGATAATACGAAGAAAACTATCAAAGCGTTAGGTGTTATTTTCCCTTTTTGATGTTTGCGTTAATCATACTTACGTCAAGTTTTCCCTTCATGTGGTCTTTGAACGTCAGCTGCGCCGTTTCCAAGGGGACGCCAATCAACTTCTTTCCCTCCAGCATTAAGATCTGATCCCCCTTGCTAATGGCTTCTTTAATATTGCAACGAAAAATGATTTAAAGGGCCACTCTAACCATTAAGATCTGATCCGCCTTGCTAAAGGCTCCTATAATATTGCAATAAGAAATGATTTAAAGGGCCACTCTAACCATTAAGATCTGATCCCCCCTTGCTAATGGCTCCTTTAATATTGCAATGACAAATGATTTAAAGGGCCACTCTAACCATTAAGATCTGATCCCCCTTGCTAATGGCTCCTATAATATTGCAATGAGAAATGATTTAAAGGGCCACTCTAACCATTAAGATCTGATCCCCCTTGCTAATGGCTCCTATAATATTGCATTGAGAAATGATTTAAAGGGCCACTCTAACCATTAAGATCTGATCCCCCTTGCTAATGGCTCCTTTAATATTGCAATGAGAAATGATTTAAAGGGCCACTCTTACCAAAACGGGCTAACAAAATGAAAAAAAGACATGTAGATTAATTTTTGACGGAGATTCCGAACATGACATTTCTTAGAAACCATAAATAATTCTGGAATATAGTTTTAGAAATGACGACTCAGAACGCTCAGAAAAAAGCCCAGTAACGGAGCTGTATTGCGCAATAGCATTAGTATGACGTCACTGCAGGGGATTTCTTGGTTTATTATGGTTATGGTTATTATCATTTTTTGGTCACTTTAGAGACTTTCTTAAAAATCAAAGGTTGGCATAGTAATAAGTAGAGGTGTGTTCATGTTTTTAAAGGCTATGTTAGTTGGAGTAGAGAGGCCCTTTAATGAGTCGGGTATAGTTTGATGACACCCATCTGAGAGATGCGGATTGTCGTGGATTCGAGCCCTGGTACGTCACTTTTAATAATTGCCAGAGCATTAATCTATATTTACCACTCCATACCCAGGAGAGTAATGGGGACCTGGTAGAATGACGGAAATCATTCTGATCGTAATTGCCATGGGCCTTTATAGTATTAATGGTATGAATACTCCCCACGGGAGGTGGTGCACACATTGTGGGCGTGAACGAAATCCGCCGCAGTGATTACATACTAAGGCTACATGTTGTTTTCGGGGTAGGGGCCTACTGTGAAAGAACTTTATTCCTTCGTTTCCATCTGAACCCGGACCTCATCTTATAAACGGATTTCGATTAATCAAAATTTGATTTGATTTGATGATGTGATGCTTATTTATTCCATATAGGCCTATACATCAACATATATCATATTTACAACCGTATTACTTTAGATGTGTGATGATTACATGGTATATAATAGAAAAGGGGTCGGCTAAAGCATAAGCTTGAAGTGACGTCCTCTTCAAAATTAAAATAATAATTCATACAATAGTCAGCGATGCATACAAGTAAAGAGAGGAAGGAATAAAAGTACACAAATGGCATAGGAAGAAAAGGGACAGAGAGGAAGTAGAGGGAGAGAAAGTTACATTCATGATAGTGTCCGGAAGAGCTGAATTATATAAAGACAAGTTGTGCATGAAATAACAAATTAATTGATGGTAACTTAAAATCAATCTCACTATGTACACGTACATAAGAGATACAGGCGGTTGCACAAAGTTAACGATTAATTTAATAGCGAGTGATCAATTCAAATCAATCGCAACACTTTATATCAGGGTACCCAGTATCAAATCCTTATCTGGGACCAGTCTTATAAAGATCGTGTTGTGCTTGATCCGAATCAATGGCAAGTCCTCCAATCACAAGTTTTCACTCTCCTATATCTCTTATTTAGATATAGCTGCGATTGATATCAGTCGAAAATAAGTTGCGATTTATTGCAATTCTTTAAAGCCCGTCTGCACTAGTTTAGCCAGGGGGATAAGACCTCCCTGCAAGGTCACTGACAGGAGGGGGTCACGGGGGACCAACAGGCACCGATTAGGCATCGTTTGTAGAGGGCGCAAGTAGCTATAAGTAGCGCAGTGGGGCTTTAAAAGACCCTGGTTCACAAAATGACGTCAAACATACCACTTTTAGCAGCAGCACCGTCCTCAAGTACCTCTGCCACAACCACTCTCCCAAGAAGGGGTGTATTTGAGCCACCCTCGAGGTACATCTTAAGCGGTCCATCCTTCACGATCTCCACCTTTCTCAGGGTTCGATCATCAATCTGGCGTGTAGTGAACTGATGATAAAATATTGATAGAAATATAAAGGAGATTAAATGAAACAGAACTGTTCAGCACTACCTCAGCACGTATTGAAACGTCATCTTGAAAATAGAACAACAGACTTTAAAAAGTAAAAATGTACAAAAGGCGAAGAAAACACTATACAACATAACGCAAAGTTATATTGTTGTGTGTAACGTGACACTTATCAGACATAGTCAATAGAAAAGTTTCACCCCTTTACTATATTTTTCATTCCTTTGACATTAGATTACAATAATTCATACCAGTTCCTCCATTTTCCCACCAGTTTTCATTTAACGCAAGTATTATCCTTATTTTTGGCTGATGACCTTTCTTTGTTTCTCCTACTTGACAAATGCGAAATAACCGACTATTCAGTATGTTGCCAATTTGATAACGTTAACATGGAGTAAGGATCCTTGGTCCACCACTCTGGCTGGTTGGAAGCAGGTTTGGGCTTCGGTTTGGGCATCGGTTTTTCATCCTGTAAACAAGGCATAGAAGTGCAGCTTTTTTCTTTTTTTTTCATCATACATTTTCGTGAACATAACATGGCTTGATACAATATTTCAAGTGTATATAACTTATACAGATAATAAACGATATTAAACAAATATATTGAATTTAAACAAATATATTGCATGCATAATTAACATACATTCGATGCAGGAGTTGTAGACAATGTGATGACCTAGACATGGAGACATCCTTCTCTTACCCTTTTCATTTTATTTCTCTCTTTTTTCCCCTCTTCAAATTCCCTCATAGGAAAAAAATATCACGCTTTTCTGGAGGAAAGACGGGGAGCAAAAAAAAGGATGACGAGTTTTTGGTGACTCTTCCCTTCTAAAAGAAGCTTATTATCGACCTCTAACTCCGTCCTTCCTTCCCTCCTTCACCTCTATAACAAACTCCCGCCCCTCCCCCCCCCCCATCCCATCCCTGCCCGGCTCCTCCTTTTTCTTTTCTTCCATCCTTCATGTAGCATTACGGCAAAATATTTTATCCGCAACCGTTTCCAAGACAGTGTCAATGCGCACACTCTTTGCGCATTATGACCATTACGTCATAAACAAAGACAAGGTGAATACTATATATCGCGTGTCGAGGTACTAGGTTTGCTCAAAGGCTTATTTGGAATATGACGTTAGCTTGTTATATTCCTCTTCCCCAGGGGGACCTGATCTCAACAAGGCATAGAAGTGCAGCTCTGGACTATTATTGATACCCCCAATAATATAGTTGAACAAAAGCTCCATCTACAGAGGACACAGTCTCTTAGTTGGAGAAGAGGCGTTCGGGCTAAATCCGTTTCCTCATCCAGTCGGGCACTTTGAAACAATCATGAACATCTGAAACTACTACTACCACCCCATTGAAAGAAATCAGATGGTGACGTCATTGTTAATCTTAAATAGGTTTAAATTGACGAGTCTTTTGTCTACGACCATACCATGCTAAACATACCGGTTCTCGTCCGATCACCAAAGGCAAGAAACATAGGGCCTGGTCAGTAATTGGATGGGAGACCGCCTTTGAATACCGGGTGTTGTAGGCATTTTTTTAAATTTGAATTGATTTATTGGTTTCTGCATCTTTTTTTCTTTTTTTTTCATCATACATTTTCATGAACATAACATGGCTTCATACAATATTTCAAGTGTTCACGCTTATCTGGAGGAAATACGGGGAGCAAAAAAAAGGATGACGAGTTTTTGGTGACTCTTCCCTTCTAAAAGAAGCTTATTATCGACCTATAACTTCGTCCTTCCTTCCCTCCTTCACCTCTATAACAAACTCCCGCCCCTACCCCCCCCCCCCCATCCCATCCCTGCCCCTACCTCCCCCCCCCCATCCCATCCCTGCCCGGCTCCTCCTTTTTCTTTTCTTCCATCCTCCATGTAGCATTATGGCAAAATGTTTTATCCGCAACCGTTTCCAAGACAGTGTCAATGCGCACACTCTTTGCGCAAGATGACCATTACGTCATAAACAAAGACAAGGTGAATACTATATATCGCGTGTCGAGGTACTAGGTTTGCTCAAAGGCTTATTTGGAATATGACGTTAGCTTGTTATATTCCTCTTCTCCAGGGGGACCTGATCTCAACAAGGCATAGAAGTGCAGCTCTGGACTATTATTGATACCCCCAATAATATAGTTGAACAAGAGCTCCATCTACAGAGGACACAGTCTCTTAGTTGGAGAAGAGGCGTTCGGGCTAAATCCGTTTCCTCACCCAGTCGGGCACTTTGAAACAATCATGAACATCTGAAACTACTACTACCACCCCATTGAAAGAAATCAGATGGTGACGTCATTGTTTAATCTTAAATAGGTTTAAATTGACGAGTCTTTTGTCTACGACCATACCATGCTGAGCATACCGGTTCTCGTCCGATCACCGAAGTCAAGAAACATAGGGCCTGGTCAGTAATTGGATGGGAGACCGCCTTTGAATACCGGGTGTTGTAGGCATTTTTTTTTTTAATTTGAATTGATTTATTGGTTTCTGCATCTTTTTTTTTTTTTTTCATCATACATTTTCATGAACATAACATGGCTTCATACAATATTTCAAGTGTTCACGCTTATCTGGAGGAAAGACGGGGAGCAAAAAAAAAGGATGACGAGTTTTTGGTGACTCTTCCCTTCTAAAAGAAGCTTATTATCGACCTATAACTCCGTCCTTCCTTCCCTCCTTCAGTTCTATAACAAACTCCCGCCCCTCCCCCGCCCCATCCCATCCCTACCCGGCTCCTCCTTTTTCTTTTCTTCCATCCTCCATGTAGCATTATGGCAAAATGTTTTATCCGCAACCGTTTCCAAGACAGTGTGAATGCGCACACTCTTTGCGCATTATGACC